AATATTAATCCTAGGCTTTGTGAAAATGATACTTTTATAAAGAAAAAGAAATGTTTTAGTCTAAAAATTTTTTTCTGTTTTTTTTTTTTTATGTAAAGTAAGAAATTTAATAAACAAAAACCTTTTTTAAATAGAAGATATCAAAAAATTAAAATAATGTACACATATTGTGCGCCATTATGCTCAGTTGGCTTTTTATTCAAATGTCATTTCCTCTCAGACTATGCCGCCTTCTACATGTGCTCTATGAATTACTTACGCGAAAAAAAAAACGGGAGGAAAAAAAAAAGATTCAAGAGTAAGAGAACTTATTAAAATTAAATTTTCTGGACTTTTTTTTTTTTTTGACTGAATTGAGAAAAAAAAATGTATTTTCATATTACATCTCCAGAACAACAACATTTCTTCACTTGTGTAGGGGAACACGTGTATTTACAGAATCCTGTCTACTTATTGTTTTTTTTTTTCAATTTAAAAGAAATGAACAAATACATAATGTAATTTTTTGGTTATGTATTAAAAAGGTTGCTTTCACCATTTTTATTAAAGCAAGTGTTGTTTTCTTCTTTTTTTTTTTTTTTTGTTTAATAAATATCTGAAGAAAGTATTTCTTGTTTTATCCTCTTGCTTTTTTTTTTATATCTATTTATGTAGATTCAAAGAAAATTGAAATGAAAAAAAAAAAAAAAAACCTTAACACAAAAAATGTAGTATTTGGAGAGAGAATGTGCCTCATTTCATCCATAAAAAAAAAATTTTTTTTAATAAAAATTTTAAATAAGTGGAAAATGTTTATATATAATTTTTAAGTCTATATCACATTACATGTATTTTTCCGTATTTATTGTTTTTTTTTTCTTTAGTTGTATAATAAATGCAAAAATATTGTTTTCTTAGTTTGCTTTCGCATTTTTTTTAACTTTTTCTCTTTTTTTTTTTTTTAAAGTTAAAGTTAATACTCACAGCATACGTTTTAAAGAATTTAAAAAGAAAAAAAATTAAATTATTTTAATATAAAAACAAAAAACGAGATCCTTGTTTATTTATTGGGTACCGCGTATAAGTTGATGAATTAGTAAAAAAAAAAGAAAAAAAAAAAATAGTTATTTAACAAAAATATGATCCATTAATTATAATTACTTTCAAGTTTAAATAAAATTTTAATAACGTTTTCGTTTTTTGTTTCTCCAAGTTTTGTTTTCTTTCTAATCACGTTCGATGTTAGTATAATAATTTTGCATATGCTTGGAAATGTTTAAAAATTTCTTAAACTTGGCTCGAAAATTTTCAAGTTCTCTTTTTTTGCTCTCTTCTTTTTTTGTATTTATGCTTTAAAAAAAAAAAAGAAAAAAAAATCTTACATTGCATTTGTTAATACATCATCACATTTCTTTATGTATTTGTATATACATGTATATGTGTATATATATGAATTTCTCATTTTATATATAAATATTAAATTGGAATTTATGTTAGTTTTTTCACTTTGTAAAACAATAATGAAAACAAAAAATATTTGTAGTAATTCTTGTTTGTAATATAAAAATATTAAAAAAAATGTTGATAACTATGAACATTTCATTTCAATAAATATTTGTCTTCCTTTCATTAAAGTCTGCATTCTAAGGGTTGTTGTTTTCCTGCTTTAGTTAATTAAAATTGTTTTGTTACAGAAAGTGAAAACAAAATTTCATTTGTACAAAAAGAAGAGTGTTTCACTTTTCCTTTCCTTTTCTCTTTTTTTTTTTTTTTTTTTTTTTTTTTTTTAAATTTAATTAATTTTGTAAGAATTAATAAGAACTGCGAAAGGACTAGCATGGTGGTATGCAAATTGAAAAAAAAAGTTACTATTTTTTTTTTTTTTAAATTTTCAAAAATTTAATTTTTTTAGTTTAAAAAAAAAAAAAAAAAAAAAAAAAAATTATAAGAATAATAATGCATTTTATTCGAATTCTAAATATTCGATTCTTGATTACTACTTTATCGGCAATAAAATTTTTTAGAATATACGACTTTTTTTTTTTCTTAAGCTGGCTCTATCTGTCTGTCTGTCCTTCTAATCTTTCTCTTTCGAAATAAGTTCATTCTAATTTGCATTAAACACGAAAATATGTTTGCAGATGTACATGCGATATATACGACAAATGCGAGAAAAAAAGCGTGTAAATTATTGCATGAGATAAATAATCAGATTTCAATCAATAATTAATTTGCTGTTATATGGTTGTTTTTAAACAGCTTTTGAACCGAATATCTTACACTTTTTATGTGATTCATACATTTCGCTTGCAAATCTGCTTTTTGAGTTTCTGTGCAATCAATAAGAACAATAATATAACGCATGTTAAAAAGGACGCGTAAAATTTAGAAGTTAAGTGCTTTTTACATATCCTTTACACCGGTAAATTAGTTGTTAGAGCTTGAACATAGACCGTGTATAGAGCAACCTTGATTGATTATAAGAAACTAATTTTATAAAAAAAATCCTTTTCTTGCTATATATTATGATCTACAATTCAAATAGCAGCTGACGCTACTAAGATATACATTAAGATGGAAACTTTTATCGTCATTTTCAAGGTTGAAAAAATTCCAACGTTTCGGAAATTGTGGTAATTATAAAGTTAATTTTTTTGCGGTTAAAATGCAATGTGAATATTGATATTAATAACAATATACTTTAACCGAAAAGTGTACTTTTAATCAATTTCTTGCCGTCAATTAAGCTTTTGCCTAATTAGAGATATTATCCTAATAGTACATCAGTCGTTAATGTTAGATAGTAATAATTACTTACTTTGCCCTTGATTATAAGAAACTTACATTAATAATTGGGGCAAAAAAAAGGTAATGGAGCAGGAAACTGTTTAAATTTAAAAGCTTACGATTTTCTTCTTGTGCTACTCTGCCTCGCTTTTGATCTTAATTTTAATACATACACACACACAAAAAAAAAAAAAAAAAAAAAAAAAAAAAAAAAATACATTGAAAAAGGAAGAAAGAAAAAGGAAAAAAACTAACCCTTCCAAAAACATAAACAAAAAATCTTATACCATTTGTATATGGATGAATGTGGCGCATTTTTATATTTAATTGTTGTTCTTGTTGTTGTTGTTTGTTTGCTTGTTTTCTTTTTTAAGTGTTCATTCGTAAATTCGTTATCGGTTGTTTGTATTATATTTCATTTTCTTCTCTTTTCATTCCATTTCATGTATGCATTCTATACATTCTATACGTATTAGATTTTTATTTCGAGTTTTTCTTGTTTTTTTTTTTTGTTTTTTTTTGTTTTTTTTTCTTTTGAATAAAAACACAAAACATGGCATTGGCGGCGACTTTGGCAACTTAACACATTATTTTAAAAATTATTTGTATTTTTTTTTTTTATTTTGCTTTTTCTACAGAATTTTTTTTTTAATCGAATGCGCATTTTTATTTTTCATTTTTTTTTTCTTTTCCTTCAAATTTCTACTGTTTGAGAAGAGTGTCACATTAAACAGAATTATGAAAAAGAAAAAAAAAAAGAAATATTGAAATATTTATTACAATAAAACAATCCGTACGTATGTTTTATTTTACAAACAAAAATGTATTGCGTTTTCCTTTCAATTACGTTTTTCCGTCTTTTATTTATTCTTTTTTTCATTTTTATTTTTTTCTTTTTGCTTTGCTATTTTGTTACTCATTGTAAAAAAATAAAAAAATTTCATCGTTTTCCTATTAATTCATTTTTTAAAAATATCGATACAAATCTTAATTTCGCGTTTCTTGCGAAATGATTTGTTTTGCGTTTTCTTACAAAAAATAAAAAGTAACCATATAAGATTTTCTGTGGAAAAAAAAAACAAAAAAAAAAATGAAATAAAAATTCAAAAAACTTAAGCAACAAATTTAATGATATAATTAATTCATAGTATACAAAATATAATTTAAAATCTTTTTAAATAAAGAAATTTACCGTTGATTTGTAGTAAAAAGTAAGTAAAATAGGGAGAAAAAAAAAATATTAAAAAGCAAATGTTTTAAAGTGTTTACAAATAGTTTTAGATATGAATTAAATATTATTATTACTATTGTTATAATTATTAGCATTAGAGAATTTTGCTTAAAAACGGGTATTCATTCGGAGCGTATGGGGAGGATGGAATTTTCAATGAATTTTCCCTCTCAATGTCTCCGAAAGAAACTTAGCTTGCCTAACCGAGAGTTGGTTTATAAAACAAACTTCAAAAACAATTTATGTAATTTATTCATAGTTTTATTTTGTGAGAAGAATGGGAGATGAGTGCGGCGATGGCGGTGGCGGTGGTGGTGGTGGTGGTTGTGGTGGCGATAGCGATGGTGGTGGTGTGAGAGAAGAGGATTGAAGAAGGTGTAGAAAGAAAGACAGAGTTAATTGGCAATGTTGTTGAATTTATATTCTGTCTTTTTATTCTTTTTTTTGTTTTTTTTTTTTGTTTTTTATTTCGTTCTTTTTTTTTGTTGTTTTTTTTTTAAATCATCATATTACATGAGAAATACTTGATGCCTTGCATCCCTGGGGGTTAGAAAATCCTGCAGAGCTTTCAAAAGACTTTTTCTTTGTTTTTCGTATTTTTCAATTTCATTTACAATTTTTTTTTTTATACGGTTGTTTTTATAAATGTTGTTCTTTTTAGAGAAAAAGAAATCACTTTTTTCAAGTTTTTTTGTTTATTTGAATATAGTATATTATGGTCGTGATTAATATAATTTGTTTTGTTTTCCTTGTTTTTAATTGTTTAATCAATTGTTAATAATTTTGTAATATTTAAATGTCTTAAGTGAAAAAAGGTGTTGAAAGATTAATAAAAGATGATTTTTTTTTTTTTACTATTAAATATATATATATACATATATATATGTGTGTGTGTATATATACATATATATATATACTTATAGATGTATATAAGCATATATACATATATATATATGTATATACATATATACACATATACGTATATACATGTATTTATGTATATATATATACATATATATATATATATATATATAATATATGAATATATATATGAATAGGTAATATTGTTGTTTGTATAAACCACTTACTGTTGAATCAATTCAGCGCCTGGTGTTGTAGCATTTGTGGCAGGTACCACTCCAGGAGCAGCAGCAAATTGATGGGGATGAGCATAATACGCTGTAGGTGGACCGTATTGTCCAGTAGCATAAGGATTGCCGGCAGCTGCTGCCAACATGCCGCTGGCATCGTACATATATGTGGCTGCCGCACCGGGTGCTGGTGGCGACTGAGCAGGTGCTGCATAGAGGGCAGCAGGTGGTGTGGATACGTTGCTTGGATATTCGGTTGTGCCGCCCACCTGGCCACCAGCCGCAGCTACTGCGGCCGCTATATTCGCGGCTACATTCATTTGTTGTTGTTGCTGTTGGGCGGCAACTACGGCCGCCGCAGCTGCCATACCGTTTATGTCATTATTAACAACATTTTGATCCATGACATCCGATTGCTGTCCACTTTGTGGCTTGTTGCCATAATGATTTTGCTGCTGCTGTTGCGTGGGTTGAAATTCACGCTTTTGATACTGCTGATAGCGTGGCGTATTTCCATTAGGAGGCATATATTGACCACGTGGACGATATTGTTGAGGTGCAGTCATATAACCTCCCTGTTGATTATAGGGTTGCATATGTGGATGTGGTACAAAGCTACCCATCATTGGACGCAGTCCAGTATTAGCATTAGTAAAAGTGTTTCTTGGACGATATTGGCGATTGCCGACATTTACATCTTGCCCAGCGTTACTACGATTATTATTCCAATTGCCGACACCAGCCTTTGGTCCAGTGCCATTATTTTGTGGCTGCTGTCCCTGATACATATTAGTGCCGTTATATTGTTGCTGATAAGTCGACTTGGTTGTGTATGCATTACCACCAATTGGATTTGCTTGATAATTTAAGGGATTATTGCGTTGCTGTTGCTGTTGCGTTCCTACGTTGTTGCTTCCAGCGCAACCAGTGTTAGTCATTTGCTGTTGCCAACGTTTATTATTATTACGATTATTACCGTTGCCACTGTTCATTGAACCAGCCATAAGCATGAGAGCCGGACATGGTTGTTGCCCGGCTTCTTCTAAGACAGAGACTAATTCTCTTGCTTGTTTAGAATTTTCATTCGTAAAAAATGTATAGGCCGTGCCTAATTGTTGACAACGTCCAGTACGGCCAATACGGTGAACATAATTCTCCGATGAGTTGGGATAATCATAATTGATGACATATTGCAAATCTTCAACATCCAAACCGCGTGAAGCCACATCGGTAGCTATCAATATATTGGACTTACCGTTACGAAAATCTTTCAATACTGAATCACGTTCAGCTTGAGATTTATCACCATGTATAGAAGTAGCGGTATAGCCTTCATTACGTATAATTTGCAAGATCTCCTCGACCTTCAAAAAACAAATGAAGATATTTATATAAAAACCACAAGAAAAGAGTAATAAGTAAATTTTAATTACCTTGATTTTAGTTTCCACAAATATAATAATTTTGTTAGCATTGTTAGCAGCATTATTAGTAGTGGTAAGAATTTCCTTTAACAACTTTACAATTAGTTGCGGTTTTTCATTCTCCTGGCAAACTTTCACAATCTGCCGTATGTTATGATTTGCGGACAAATTCATTGAACCGATATTAATTTGAATGTAGTCGTTTAGAAAATCTCCTGCAAGAGTTTGTACTTCTTTGGGCCAAGTAGCAGACCACATGACGACTTGACGATCGGGACGTATTTGTTCAATAATTTTACGAATTTGAGGTTCAAAACCCATATCCAACATCCGATCTGCTTCATCTAAAACCAAATAAGTGCAACGTTGCAAATTTGTGGTACGATTCTCAAGGAAATCAATCAATCGTCCGGGAGTAGCAATTATCACTTCAACACCACGCTCCAAATCACGAGCTTGAGGTATTTTCGAGGAGCCTCCGAAAATGCAAGTATGACGAATTTCCGGTTGACTTAAATGGCCAAAATCGCGCACTACGGACTGAATTTGTTGAGCCAATTCACGTGTTGGAGCTAGAACAAGGGCAATAGGGCCATCACCGCGGGCCAATGGTGGTTGGTTAGCGATATGTACCATAGCTGGTAACATATACGCCAAAGTCTTGCCAGATCCGGTTTGAGCGATGCCCACCAAATCCCGCCCAGATAAAGCAATAGGCCAACCTTGAGCCTGTATGGCGGTGGGTTGAGTAAATCCTTGACGCTTCATTTCCTCAATAGTATGCTCAGGCAGCGAACATTCCTCAAAGGAAGCTATGGGATGTGGTATATCATTGCCTGATACGGTAATTTGCAATTCATTGCGAAGTTCTGCAACAGCCTGCTCGCTTATGTTTAAAGTGTTTGGATGAGGAGCATAAAAATTTTTTTTAAACGGTGGCAATTCTTCCCATTCAGGCTTGGCAAGGGTGCGTCCTGGATTTTTTGCTTTTTCACGTTGCAAGGATGCACGCTCCTCTTTGCTGAGAGAACCTAAGCTAATTTGCGGCTTATTAAAGAGATTACTAGTAGTCTGGTAATTACCACCATTAACACCACCAACAATTCCATTTATGGGTTTTTGATGACGTGGTATAAAGTTGGGATTTTTGCCGCGCGGTTGAAATCCTCCAGAAGCGTTACCGTAATACTGAGGAGTTCCACTAACCATCATGGGATTAAAATTATTACCGCGATAACCGCCGTAATTGCCATTCTGTGAAGTGCTTCCTCCGTAAGCGGCGTTACCATTAGTGGCACCAGCGTAATTAGACGTGCGCTGATAGTGAGGTCGCTCTTGACGAGGGCCTCCGTTAGCATTCAGACCGCTATAATTAGGATTAGCACCAGCAGTAGCTGGCATACTTGCCGGGTAGCCATTAGCGTACATAATCAATTACTAGTCAATTAGCGATTAAAAATGTATATAATTCAAAGATATATATATATATATATGCAAGTTTACTCCGTAGTTATTCTGCAAATTTTTGTGGAAATAAAAGAAAAAAAGCATGTCAAAAGGTATGCTAGATACTATTATTATATTGTCTACGGTATGGCAACACCTTCCATATACGCAATCGTCAAAAATCGATATTTTCACGACTGGTACATAGAAACCCGAACGAAACACATTTTCACAATTCAAAAAAATGGATGAAAATTTTTTACGACTATGTGAAAAAATCAATAGTAACACTTACCAAACTTTCTAATAAATCTTTGCTTCTTTTTTTGTTTTTTATTAATCGAAAGATCTTTCGAAGCCTTTTTAATTGCTATTTATTTTCAGTTTTTTTTTTTTTTTTTTTTATTAGGATTACAATAGTTTTCGTATTATAAACCACTTCTAGCCAAAGCCGCCGCCTCGCTTTCTTTTTTATGCAAAAATTGCTATGTATTTTTAAATGCTTTTATACGTAGTGAAGAAAAATGAGTTGTAACTTTTTTCACTTACGTTTAGTTTCTTTTTTTCTTGCAGTTTAAGAAAAAAGTAATTGAATTTTACGTTTTTCGTTTATCTATCAAGTGATGACGGATGCTACAATTATTTCTATTTAATTTTTAAATAAATTAATCTTTTAATACTAATTTATTTAATTTTTTTTTTCTAACAATAAAAAATAATTTGCAGCAAAAAGCGAGGAACGACGTTGGCTTAACGAAAAGCCAAACCAAACTGAAATAAAATGGCCGTCTTTTTTATCGAAAATTAGGAAAGCATTACCCAGTGTTGGGTAACGTTTGTACCAAAAACTAAGCGCCACAGAATTACCAACTTTATATTTTTATCGTTTGACAAAGAATAGTCGACTATATCAATTTCCTTTTTGGTGTAATAAAGGACTCTCCCTTTGGATAAATTTCAAATGTAGATGAAATGTATTGGAAATCAGGTAACTGAGTAAATTAATTTTTTTTCAATCAATTTGCTCGTTTCTTTGATCGAACTCTACAATTGTCATTGTTAAAGCAAACATATACCGCCATGCTGCGAATGCTTCCATAAGCACTGTTAGAAAGCTGACCTAATTCTTTCCGCTTTTCGGCAAATCGCGTTTCTAGAACTAGATGCGGGTAGTTTAAGATGATTGATGCAGTTATATAAAGGTTCTATAAGCAAGCTTAGAATTCATTGTTTGTCATTCCATTAAAGGAAAAGAAATTTTCTTTTTTAGTATTAATTGCATCAAATTGAAATGAAAAAGAATGTTTGCGCATATATTACTGCCTGACCTTATATAAAAAAAAAAAAAACAAACAAAAAAAAAATTGCACATACAGCAAATGGAATTTCTATTGACACTTACGGCATCTTTATTCTGTCTATGTATATGTATGCAGATACTTGTCTAAACGCTGTAAATGCTCTTGCGTAACAAATGTACATAAATATAAAGATTATATATATATAAACGTCCTGTTAGAATTTCTTTTTAGTTTTATCTTCTTTTCGATGACAAAATATGTTTGTATGTTTATTAAGTCTAATCAAAGAATAATCTTTCCGTTTTTCTTCGTTTCCTATATTGTATAATGGATTTGAAGTTAAAAAAGGAAAGAAAAGCCACAATATGCTTTATTTTATTATAAACGGTTGATTTTGTTGTTAAATTTCCAAATTGTTTGTTTGTATAGAATTTCAAGAGAGAGAATTTGAGAGAATTTGGAAGAAATTGGGGACTTTTGCCGACGGCTTTGCAAATTAACAAAAATTCTTTCTGTAAATAGCAGAAAATTTAGCTACTGTTTTGTTTAATTTGGTAATAAAAAAAAATATTAGGGCGGTCTACTTTTAGGCTAACTTGTAAAATTAAATAAGTTTAATTCGCGTATTTTCCAAAACACTATAAAAAGATTAGGTGAGAGGGTTGCAGTAGACGAAAAGGCAAGTTTTGCAGTTGTTAGTGTTCATTTTACTTTTAATCTTAGCATTTGTTTTTTTGATCTGAACAAATAATAACGATAATAATCACAATAATATAGTCGCGGGAAGGGACTCTCGAAGTAATATGTAGAATGCCTATGGCGAAAAGCGCATAATATCCTTACTCGCCGATCAGGCTTTGAAATTGAAGTTGAACGCATTGAAAGCAGCGAACACGAACATGGAAATTTTCAGGAATATCGAACTTGAAAAGTTGCTCAACTTTGTATTTCGCCGCCTTTGGCAAATATGTCTAATAAATTAAGTAAAGAAATTATATTCGGTCTTGACCGAATATTTTATACTCATCATCGTTATTCTAAACGGGACAAAAAAGTAAACGAACTAAATTTTCATGCTCTATAACATGGAATGGGTGCGGGAATTTTTTTTAGTGCACAGGCTCGTCCGTAGTCGTTTGGATCGCTTCCAAAAATTTTTCTGAGAATAATAAATTGTGTTTCAAATTTTTTCAACTTTCGTTGTAGGTAGAAATACCTACAAAGGCCGGGTTATGGTCAAATCGATTCAAGGATGTTATTTTACCAATTTTCGGATGTATCGAAAATGTAATGATATAAGAAAATGTTCTACAAATGTATTACAGACTAAAAGAGCGGTATCACATCTTTACCGTATGACAAATCACAGATGCAAGTTATGTTATATTTTTATTATCGATAACAAGAGTTATCAACATGCGTTGTTAATCGTCTCTGAGAAAATTTATGTCATCTAAAAGAAAAATTCTCTCCACACGGAAAAAAGAAACTAAACATATTCAATAAATACTATTATTATAGTGTCTATTTTTTTTTTAAAACTAATATAGTCATTAAGAAGGAATATCAATCACCCACCAAAGTTAGTAAATTGGAAAAAAAGGCATTTTGTGAAAGGCGAACATATATATAGTTTTAACTACTTGAAAAATGGTCAAACTATTCGCTTTGAGTATTTTTTACAAAAGTCCAACAGAGGCACGGTTATTAAAGTCGACTTATGACTTACAATCTTTTTCATTTTTTCAAAGGAGCACTGTAGAAGAATTTATGACGTGAGTTTTTGCTGATTAGATTTGATAAGAAAATTATAATTTGAAGTAACTTTTTTTTTCTTTAAAAGATTTGCTTCGAAAACCATAGTGGAACGTACTCAATTGGCCATGCGCCAATCGGTAAAGCAAGAAGCTTATATGTGTCATGTTTATGTGAGGTCGGATAATTTGGCTGGTGTCATAATAGCAGATCACGAATATCCGCAACGTGTAGCACATACATTAATTACAAAAATTTTAGATGAATTTACAGCTAAAATTTCTTCAGACGTTTGGGAAACTGCTACGGAAAATTCCATTGACTTCCCAGTATTACCAGCTTACTTAGCGCGTTATCAGGATCCTAAAGAAGCAGATGCTTTAACAAAAATGCAAAATGATTTGGATGAAACAAAAATAATCTTAAAAAATACAATTGAAGCAGTTTTAGAGAGAGGTGAAAAACTTGACGATATGGTTATTAAGTCCGAAAATCTGTCAATACAAAGTAAGGCTTTTTATAAAACGGCAAAGAAGACCAACTCATGTTGTAGTTTTAGTTAAATATCCAGCAGAATATATAAAAAGAAAATCACAAATAGTAAAAAACCGATTTGTACGCTTCGGATGTTTTTTTTTCTTTTTTTTTTTTTTGTTAAAACAAAAAAAATACTATAATTTTAAGTTTATAAACCATATAGAATTGGTATAGAAATGATCAATTTTAACTTGTAGTTAATCATTTTTCTCCTTCAACTTTCAAATTAATCCATTCCAGTTTTTCTTCATTTCCAGAGAAATTTTTGTACATCGAAAATTATTGTACATAATGTCAGCATAAATTAATAAACATACATTTGTTTAAAAAAATATTTATGTATTTACTACTGCCTAAATATACATAAATATAAATTTATGTGATTCTTCGGCAAAAACAATAAAATTTATATGGGTACTTTATTAACTGTGTCTGATGAACTATAAACTGAAAGAATGTATTTATTGAATATTTTTAATTGTTTTTATTTATATACATACCAATAAACATGGAGAAATGGAACGTTTATAAAATATCTTACGAACGATTTTAAACATGTACTCATAACATAAAATAAAGTTCAATTTGACAAAACAGATAGTTAGTTAGTTTTTGCTTTGTAAGATAGGGCAAGCATGCATCCAAGCAATTATATTTTTTACTTTTTTTACTAACCGTATATAATACTATATTATATCCGCTGATTAACTACAGCTATCTTTTCGAACAGTGACTACGTATTTAAAAGAAAAGAAAAATTGACTTTTTATTTGTTTCGTTTTTATTGAGAGGGGGCGAGTGTATGTTATGTGAAATCTTTGCAGCGCATTCGGATCCCAAGACCAAGAGTCAGGCAGAGATCAGCTTAACGGGACCTCGAAAGGATTTCATACTTCTTGTGTGGCAGATGCATCATCATGCTTTTAACATTATAAAATGTAATTGACTACAATTTTGAGGTATCTTTTTATCGTACATTGACGTATGTATTTCTGTACACGTAAAGAACTTAATTCTGTGGTAGATAAGTCGAAAAGCTAATAGGAAATTTAATCATTCCTAATTTTCTTCCTAAAAAATCAGGTTCTGTACAAAATACCTAGACTAAAAGATTGCCGGGACCTCCTCATTCAATATTGCCATTAACGAACTTGAAGCACAGTCTAGGACATTACTTGAAAATTATAGACGCAATTTTTCCACAATGGACAAACACCAATGCAATATCTCGAGGTTGACACGGAAATCTGCATAAAACCTATTAAATGTATGCGTATGCAAATATATTATACTAAATAGACATTAGCTATTCCTAGAATATAATTTTTTTGATTACGAAAAATTGGGGCATTTGACGAACATAGAATGTAGAAATCTTCAATATAAGTTCATATAAATGATGAAAACGAATTATATGCGTTTATTTTTTGTACATATGCATGTATGGCCTATAAAAAATGAATCCCTCACCAAAGCCCTTAATCTTGCTTCATAACCGACGTCGTAATTATGAAAAAAAAAACTAAATAAGAAAAAATATACAAGGCTGCTTATAAAAAGTATGTTTCGTCTTTAAGCAAGTGCATTCATCATTCCTAATACTCTCTGTGGTTGGTTCTAATACTTTCGCTAATCGTTATCGCTACTTTTGGTGGTTGTTTTTTGTACACGTACAGCTGTATGTACATCAAAAAATAGAGAAGTATATTTGGTTTAGCTTTGATCCAATATATAGTCATGTAAAGAAATCCTTATCAGAATTTTTTCCCATACAAATATTACGAACGGAAGAATGCATAGCACAAATGGACTCTGAAAGAGTCCCCAAGACACGCAATGAGTTCTATTTTAAACATAAAATTGTGATTTGATCGTTTCTAACTCACACTGCGTATATGGAGAATTTTTTCCTTATCCCTTTGACTTAAAAAAGTAAGTTGAAATTTGAAAACTATTTCAGTATTTTAAATATACTACATAAATGTTAAAACTTTTTTAAAATTTATTTAATATCGTTTTGTCTTTCTCAAATAGGAAGAATGCTAAATTGTCCATGATAGCAATAGAAACGATTACAGAGTTGCATGAAAATGAGGGAAAAATTACCCAACCCTGATAAACATAACTAATTACAATTAAAACATTGTTTTCTTTTATATTGTATTAAAATTGGCAATTTGCGCTTTGACAGGAAGTAATACGAATAAATTCTGCTTGAACGAAGATGATTCCGAAAGAACTGCCAAATGGTGTGAATTTTAATATAAAATAGATGTGTATAATGGAAAGATTCATAAGCAAACATGAGTTTGAGGTAAAATAGATATACATAATAGCAAAATTCATAAGCAAACATGAGTTTAGAGCTAAAATTCGCTTTGGACGCATATCTATTGAAGGAAAAATAGATACGTTCTTGAATAAATTCCAGGTCTTGATATAAGCCTTTGTTAGTTATAATAGTGTTGAAATCCCCGACGTCCACGGGATAATATGTTGTAGAAGCTATTATCGTGGCAATTACTCTTCTCGTTATGAATGCATTTCATAGAAACTTAAATGAGTACTTTTAGGCAACGATCAGTGCATTGTAAGAGTTTGCCAGCCATGCAAAATTTATTAATTAATTTTATCTTTACATGAAGCTAAATGACATGTCGGTCACAGTATATAGATGATTTACTTGGTTATACTAATCACATAAAAGGCTGCAGCTGTTAGCTAACTCTTTCGGAGGATGACTATTTATCGGTTTACTTGAGGATGAAACTTCATGACAATATAAATATGAAACTCATGTTGGCGCTACAGATCTCAAGTTCTTTCATCTTCAAACTATTTTCGCACCTCTTGCATCCACCGTATTATGGCCACTAAATGCAATCGAATGATTGCTGCCATAGGCGATAGTTCACTTTTTTAAACTGCAAAGCAGGAAAACAGTATTCAGTGGCTTAGTCCAGTTAATCTCAAAAAAGAAATGCATTTTCTCTATCCTTACAATATAGACTTTTCTAGATAAACCAGAAGGAACGTTCCATTCAGCTAGATAAACGCATGCGTAGTTAATGTGCTGCGCCGAAATGCTTGCAAAAATTTAGCATTGCTCTTAATCAAGGTAGGATTTCACTGAATTTATTCGTTTATTTTGAAAGCAAATCACGCTTAGGATCTTAGAAGTCATTTTAACACTTCATACTCTAACTGCATTATATTCAGAATTAATATCCTGTGTAAGAAATTTATTTGGTACTAAAATTATTCTAGCACCGTGAAGCTACAGAGCACAATGTTCATGTTTTAGTCGTGTTATTATTTTACTCCAAAATTTTAAATAATTGTACTTTTTCATTCTGCACACTTTTTACAATTAATTTAATTTCTAATCTTCGTCCGCATATGGTATCGTCATCCTGCCTTTGTTTATATATATATATATATATGTTTTACATTATAAGTTACAATTTATAATTATTCCGGTACATGACAGTATGTAGTCCTTCGGTCAGCAGGATCAAAAGAATATCGTTATAAAATCTCTTAAACACTTTCCATCGGTATAAGTAGAATATTGTCGTATATTTGACACGATCCTCTATATTGCTCCAAATGCAGTTAACGAAGTCATCGTGTATTCGCTTCCCCCCCAAGGAGAAGAGGACACATCTTTTAAGCTCTTTTAAGGTTAACTTTCTACATTTTGCAATATCACGATAGTCAACTAATGCTAGTTATCCCTAAGTTCATCGGATTTAAGAAAGGATGTCGAATAAAATAATGTAGAAGTGCGAGAATTGGAACTACAATCACGTCGAGTTTCAATACATATTTAAGTTTAACAGGTTTTAAACGCATTATTTGAGAAAAGAATTCGAAAATTTGCAAATCGTATTAATTCCTGAATATTGGATAATATTTAAATGTATTCCGTATACACAATCTGTTTTGAGTTTGGGGAATTTATTTTTTAATTTTTTTTATTTGAAATAAAAATTATTAACTTTTATATATTTTTTTCCTCTTTTATTTATACTTTATATACTAAGAAATGTTTACAATTCATAAAACCTTAGGTCACTAACTTTAACTTTTTTTTAATTGTTTCTAAATTGCACAATTAAAGAATTATAACTAAGATAGGATAAAAAGAAAAGACAAAAATATATTAAATGACTAAAAAAAAAAAAAAATGCGTAAGAAAAATAAATATATGCATAAGAAATTCAAGTCAATTTTGAAAGTTTTCATATAAATTTTTTATTTTTTACGGTTATGTTGATTTTAGTTAAAATTTTGTATTGAAAGTTTGAAAAAACCAATAAAATAAACGTCTTTTAATAAAAGTTTGCAATTTGACAAAACAAAACGGAAAAATCAACATATGAGCTAAAATATATAATCAAGTTCAAGAAGAAATAATTTGGAAGAAAAAAGTAACTGAGTTTAGAAACGTTGAGGTGGTATTAATGTCGACTTGACTCCTTTGAGGGCATGCTTTTTCTTGCGATGTGTCGACAAATTGCATGACTGCTTAAAACTGGCACCGCATATCTCGCAGGCGAACCGTCGCTCCTTGCTGTGCACACTGCGGTGTAGTTCCAGACGTGACTGGTATTTAAACTTAAGACCGCAATTCTCATAATCGCATATGTACCAACGTTCGCCGTCATCAGATGAAACTGCGCTGCTAGCACTAGCTGTGGTACTGTTTGTGGTATTGTTGTTGTTTATATTAGTGGCATTATCCTTGGGTAAATCTTGAGGCATTAAAGCCGCCATAGAGGTGGGTACTTGAGCGGCGGCAGCAGCCGCTGCCACCGTCATATTTAAAGTGTTAATAGCGGGCACTTGTACCAAAGCAGCATAAGCGCTTACCGGCGGGTGTACTTGTGGCAATTGATACATTAAAGGGGTTGCCGACATTTCTAATTGATGTGGTGTATGTTGTTGCTGCTGTTGGGTCTGTGATTGCTGCTGCTGTTGTTGTTGAGCTTGTTCCGGCGTAGACATGGACTGTGACAAACTTGGCTCCAATTTAATATCAATTGCCACCGTTTGATTGTTTTCCATATCATGTGTACGCATTTCCGTGTAGTCCTTGGCTTCCTTTTGAATGTCATCCTCTTCGCTGGCTCCACTAGTCGCCTCTTCCCGTTGTTGCTCATTTACACTAACTTTGCGATACAAAGGCAAAGGCATTACCCCTGCCGGCTCACCCGTCTCCATATATGTAGAACCCGAAGCACGTGTGGGCTCCTATTGCAAAATAAACAAATGAAAAAATGGCGGGCTTTTTTTTTATTTACTGGATTGCCACAGAAGGGCTTGCATACCTGTTTAATACCGTGCATGAAATTATGTTCATCCTGTATATGCTTCCAAAATTTATCTTGCGTCTGTAACTCTTCCTGGCAAGTGTGGCATACAATCCAGAATTGATTACCATCACCCGATAAGCAAAACTCACCCAATTTTGTATAAATTTTATGGTTTTTACTTATAATTCGCGGAAATCCCATAGTAAGGACTATAATTTTTCTGAGTTTTCTAAAATAATTCTCTTCAGAATAAATATAACGCACTATTTTATAAAATAAATTGCACGAGAAATATTTTTCCTTTTGTTTACCACTAACTTTTGTTTGACATTTGTTATCAGATGTTTTTTTTTTCGTATTTTTTCGTAATACAAAATAAAAAGTTGGCAATACTGTTAAAAATACACAGCTATTTATTGCTCATTTTTTGACTTTTTTTTTACGCAATGCTTATTTTAATGTTAAGATTTGGCATACAAATGACCTAAAGAAACTACAAGGAAACATTACGTGATCATAATAACACTTAGCTCGGAAAGTCACATCTATCTTTCTGTTTTTCTCTTCAGTCGCCAAACAATCAAATATCGTATATGTTGATAATCCACGTTCCTACTACTAATGTATATGTACTCTCTTACGCAACCCTGCAAAATTCATTAGTAACAGCTGCTTAGTTCCTTTTTGTTAATAAGACATGAAAGCAAATTTGCCAAAAAAGTTGTACAATTGTACTAAAAAAAAACAGCATTAAAGTATTGTATTTAAATAAAAAAAAAAGAAAAAACGAAAAAATTGTTGTGTATTTAAAAGCTTTATTTTTTCCTCATTTTCTTGCTTCACATTAAACAAAAAACAATGTACAAGGAGTTCTCGTTAAACCAAAGATGATTACACATTAACAGCAAAAATATATTTTTTAATAAGCCAAAAAAAAGTAATAATAAGAAAAGGGTCCCCTTTAGAAAAATTAGAAAAGATACACAACCACGACGCTTATTCACGCTCGCTACGTAAAAGGTTGTATTTCCATAATAAGGAAAGGAGCGACAACGCACAAGCAAGCAATTGTTTGTGTAAAAACAATTTTCAACCACAACGTATACACTCTAAATAAACACAAATTTGGTTTTAAATTGCGGATATAGACATTAATTAAATATTCCACGAGTGTTCGCGAGGCAACAATAACAATAGCATCAGCTAAAGCTATTGTCAACCATCAATTATAACCGAAGAGTGTCAAGCTGATATTTTTAGAATTTCCAAAAATGGCTAGTATGCCGGATCACCGGAAACGCAACACTTTTACAAGCTATGTGGCTCCGGCACCCGGTGATGTATCCGCTATTGCTTTGGAAGATGAATGGTGTTTACCTAGTGACACCCGTGACGTGCATTTGGCAAAGCCGCGTCTACTAAATAAAGAGCTAATTGTTGTCTCAGCTCCTGCTTATATGTATTCTGCTATTTCCACTATAGATAATATTTTGGAGAATGGAACTACTTTTGGCGGCAAGGAGGCGGTTTTCGGTCTACTTACTGTTACTAACTTCAAGTTGGCCTTTGTTCCTTTGCAACGTGAAAATCCCTTGTGTGGACTAGCCTCCACTTGCTATCAGGAGCATTTATTTTTGCAACGCAATGATGTCACTTTAAACAACATAGATCATGTTATTCAATGCGCTGAAAGTGGCCGAGCGGTCAATGTTTTGCCTGGTAATGCGGGTCGCCGCAAAAAGCGTTTGGACGCCCAACAGAAAGTGTTAAATCATCGTATTGCTGCTTTGCATGTGGTTTGTAAGAATTTTCGGCTTTTCAAATTCGCCTTCCAATTAACAAAGGGTGGGCGAGATTGGGGCAAATTGATTGCCGCTGCGTTGGCACGTTTTGTTTACCCGAAATGTCATGATTTGAGTTTTGCTTATCGGTACCAAGAACCCTATTACCCTACAATTTCCAAGCCAGGCGTTAGTATGTATGCCTCAAAAAATGATTGGGCTAGAGAATTGATACGATGTGGTTCTAATAACTGGCAAGTAATTAGCTCGGAGACTATACCAATTCTACAACAACAACGCCATTCTTCCAAGTATACGTTTCCACCGCACTTTGTCATTCCAAAGGCCTGCACTGTTGAGCGGTTTCTGGATTTGTCACGTGCTTTTTGTGATTCGCGAGCAGCTTTTTGGGTTTACGGTTATGGAAACGCTTCGTTAGTACGCTTAGCTGAATTAAAACCGACAGCTCAACAAGATACTACAGTAGAAAATGTCATGCTCGAATTAGTAAGGGCGTGCAATGAACGGAAAATGTTGCATTTGCTGCAATTAACAGATCGCCTGCCCAACATACACGATGTTCAGAAAGCTTATCACAAATTGCGTCGACTATGTGCTCCTGAAAGTCCTTCAGAGTTCGTGATGGAAGATGCAAAATTTCTCACACTTTTGGAAAAAACAAATTGGCTTTTTTATGTTTCGCTATGCTTGCGTTACTCTTGCGAGGCTGCCGATACTTTACGTGACGGAACTACTTGCGTGCTGCAGGAAACCAATGGACGCGATTTGTGTTGTGTAATCTCTGCGTTAACGCAAATAATATTAGATCCTCTTTACCGAACCATAGATGGATTTCAATCGTTGATACAAAAGGAATGGATAGCCTTGGAGCATCCCTTTCAACGCCGCTTAGGCCATATAAGGCCGGCGGCCGATTCTAATGGACCCGATGAAGAAAGTCCTGTATTTTTGTTGTTTTTAGATTGCGTGTGGCAGCTATTGCAGCAATATCCCGACGAATTTGAATTCAGTCAAACGTATCTGGTGACATTATGGGACGCGTGTTTTATGCCTTTGTTCGACACTTTTCAGTTCGATTGCAACGCTGATCGAATGAAGGCGGTGCAAGATAGTCACTTGGTGTTAAGACCCGTATGGGATTGGAGTGAACAATTTTCAGAAAAGGATAAATTCTTCTTTACCAATCCCTTTTATCAACGGCAGCGTCAGGAGATACCTTGTCGACGTTCAATAGCCATACCGGCTGGTGCTATTATGTTGCCCGGTCTAGCTAAAACTTCAGCCCACCGGGCTACATTTAATCCACATAATTTTATCCAACAATCATCAATACCCAAAGATCGCTATCTTGAACCTCAACATCGTATGTCTGTCTTGGGCATATGGGAGCAATGCTACTATCGTTGGATGCCCATTTTAGAAATTAAAGGCGGCGGTTTTCCGCAAATCGATCTATTTCATCGTCTTCTATTAAGTAACATTAACAAATTGCAGAGATCTCTCGAATTACAGGATTTCGAAGATCTGCCTGACGTTTATTATGAATTGACTCGCGAACCGAAACCCAGCCTGCAAACTCATACAACGCCTGAACTTATTGATGGAGTGGAGAGACGTCGTAAATCTTTGCCTCCGAATCCGACGGGTCAAAAACCGCAAACGCCCGAATGCGCTATGAATTTAATGCCGGAAATTTCTTCGTTTTTCCCTTTCGGGGTAAACGGTGGCGAAACGCAACAGTTAAACGATATCTTAATCAGTAGCAATGAATTTCTGTTGGAAGGCTCCATAATGGATCGTCTATCGATAGCTTAAATCCTAAAACAAGTCGATTTAGTACAGTAGTAGTAGTAGAAAGCGAGAAAAGAAAGCCTTCAAAGGTTCTGTTAATAAAACAATGAAAATACGAAAAGAAATGATTTGAACGCCCTGGTAAGGTTCATCCAATTTCATGATCATTTGATAATAATTGATAATAACTAAATTTGTGCTAATGCTATATTTACAGTATATTGTTACCTGTTTTTGTTGTTAATAGTAAACGAGGAAGAGATAAAAAAAAAAAAAAAGAAATTCATCCGGAAATTGTGTTAGCTCAGTACAATTTCAAATTTCAAAAATGCAGTTTCGATTTTTTTCCCTTCTATAATTTCCCCGGAAAGAAAAGTAATAATATTTTTTGATAATAACTATATTCTCAATATTCATATGATGAAAAAGTATTAAATTCCTGGTAGTCTTAAAACTAAAATGAATCTTCTTTTTTTTTTTTTTAATTAATTTTTATTCAATTGAGTTTTTTTTGTTATTTATTTTTTTCTTATGTTAAAAGTGTGGACAGAATTCAATAATTTTAATAAAAATCTTTATATATATAGTTATATATGGCTTTGCTAATTAATTCCAATTAATAATGAAAAGGAAAATTTAAATTAAAAGCGTATTAACGAATTATTTCCAAGAATACAAATATATATTTATTATATAATTATTTAAAGTGCATAGAATGTATACAAATAAAGTAAAATTACTATAAATTAAATAACTGATTGAAATAATTTACTTATTACAAATTATTGAGAAAAATTCTCTTGTTTCAAATTAATTAAAACACTTAATATCTACACTCTCGAGTAATTGAAGGTCGGACGGCGGTTTATTCGTCGCATTAACCCATTAACGCATATCTTATAAAGTTAAAGTAAAAAAAACAAAAAAAACAAAATGGTACTGAGAACGTATACCTGATGCTGGTCTACAATTTGGTACAAATTCACCAAACCTGTTTAGAAATTCAAAGCAGATATCATTTCGGTTAGTCTATCGACTTGTCCAACAATTCCATGCGTGCAACTAACTATTCATTACGTAATCAAGATGATATATGATGCCACATATCTATTCTTAATGAATGATCAGAAATCGAAAGAAATTTTTTTTCGTTTTCCAATAAATTGAATCAAACCAAGGTAGGTTAAGATTTTTTCCCCAGTCACTTCACCAATCGGTCAGTTTTATGCCCTCACTGTAACTCACTGGAACTGCGACCAAAGCAAACTACCCAGAATTGAGACTTGAACCCGCGAACACTGACTTGGTTGTCACGATTCTTACCAAACGTCAGTTGTAAGATTCAGACTAGGTCTACGTATAGTTTTACAGTGAAATTCGGTTTGACAGCGGTCGATTTGAACACGACATTTCGCGTCTAGAAAAAAAACGTTTTCTGGAAACCATTATTGATTTCAACGAAACAAAACAAACGATCCTTAATATAAGATATCATTTTGATAGCGATACTTGATAAAATCGTTACTGTGTTACGTGTCGTAACATACCGTAGCACACCTCTTCCTTTTCAATCATTTATAGGGAAAAACAAGTCAGAACATTATAGTCGCCCTAGCCATACACCTCTTCGCCTAGCACAATTATTCACTCATTTTGACAGTAATGCATTAAAAATTCATGCAAAGGCATACTTTTCATGACAGCCTGCATAGTGGGGGATGTCCAACATTTGTTTTTTATAAAAAAAAGGGGGAAAAATGGATTTTTTCACAAATATATTACACAATAATATATTATTACATAGTTTACTTAACAAATTTTCTCTTTTCAAATCAATTTTTTGATAGATTTTTAATTTCATACCTAACTTATGTAAGCAGGCCCCGAAAACAAATAAAATTAAATATTTATGATATTATTATATTATATTTCTTTTCATCTTATAATAATTATATAGAAATAATCGATTCCTCACAACACCTAAATCTACAATATAATAGAAAATTGCATGGATTGGATTTCGAATTCCGCCTCGCCCACCGAATTTTTTCAATCTAGCCTTCAGCGAATATTATCTATTTACAAACCTTTCAGGAAAAAGTTTCGGATCAAATGATGAGATCAATGCCGAAATTGTAGTGTATTTTGATAATCTCCATAAATCGTTACGTAAAAAATATATCGAAATCTTAAAGAAGCTTAGAGCTCTTTGTACTAATCATAACGGAGGCTATGTTGATGAATCGATTTGAACTTTGCAAAAGACAAGTTATTTCCTTCCTCTGCCCCAGACTGCCCCATTGATTGATGATTACATTTTTGCTAATTCAAAGCTCTTTTATTTATTTCACAAAGTTTAATAAGAAAATTCATTTACATTTAAAAGAAAATAAGTAGAAAAACATAAGATAATAAAAAATAAATAAATGAACTTTATTAAATGTTCTCTTTTACATTTTTTGATGCTTGACGCCTTTTCAATTGACGAGTTTTCTTTCCTTTAGACTTCTCTATCTTTTCTTTTTCCAAATCTTTGTCAATTTCTTCCAGAACAAATAAAATGCGTGGTTCTACTTCATCCAAGTGTTGAGCACTCAACATTTCCAAGCATTGCTTTTGAAAGTCTTTGTTAACCATATTATTAATGACTTTAGCCATAGATGCAGCCATGTGCTGTCGCATAATTTCGAAAGGTACACTGCATTTGCGGTAAGCGCGTTTTTTATTGTTATTGTTTAGGATTTGCAAAGAGTTAGTGGATGAAGACATGGCTTATAAACACTTCCAACGCGTTATTTAATGACCTGTGTATGCTAACGGAAATACTTAAACTTATGCTAACGGAAGTACTTAAAGTTTGTTGCGTCAAATTTGTGCCATAGTTGCATTTTCGATACATGCTAGAAACAGTCTTCTCAACGGCAAGTTTTCGATATATAAAACGGAATTGAAATTAGTATTAAAAATAGGTATACGGCGTAAAGAATTAACTAATGAATATTCGGGGAAGACTTCATATCTTTTAATATTTCTAGTATTTTATATCTAGCTTTTGGCGTACAAGTCAGCAGTCTTTTGCTCTATTAAATAAGATATACTTGCTATTTTTGCTATTGTTTGCTATTTTTTGATAATTGTATTCTCATAACACGAATATGGTTTTTTCAGCAGAAATAAATATTAAAAGAGTTACAATATTTTTTCTTATTAAAATACTGGTAGTTTACTACTTTTTTTAAAATTATATTATGGCAACGCTGTCAGCCAATTTTAGACAAAAATATAATTTATAATGTAATAGGTTGGAGGGAAAGTTCTGTCGTATTTTGAAGAAAATATTTGAATTCATTATTCATGTGGAACCCAAACACTTTGCTTTAACACAAACGCAATAGATTTAATGTGATCTCCAACATTTGTATGATGAATGCCTAACTCTTCTGCAATTTCTCGACTTGTTAAATGTGGATTTTATTTACAAGAAAAATTACCTGGCTATTTATAATATGACAGAGCTTTCCCTACAATCTATTAATATATAATTTATAACTTTTTGTAGTTGCTTGTATGTGATAGATAAATGCGTAAAATTTTGGTCAAAGCATTGTCTGGAGAAAGCTTAACTATCCTGTGGCATGCAATTAATAACTGCTGGTCTATCATCTTTATAGTCTTAGATTTGCATACATCAAAGGTGTTTCCATTCCTAAAGACTGAAGCCATTTAAGCAATTTCAAGCTCATTTTGTTGATATCTGTATTCACAAGGATTATTAACGGCCTGATTAAGGAGTGGCTAATGGATTTCCTCAAAGCTGGAAACATTATTCCAACTTATTCCTACGCGTATCAAAAACGCAAATCTACGAACATGTGCGTTAATGAATTACCTTTTCTTATAGCTAGTTTAAAGAGAGCTCGTAAAAAGCCTGTTATATTTTTCCTGGACATCAACAAAGACTATGATTGTGTCACTTTCTTGGTAGAGTTTTAAATCAAATCATCAAACGCATGACTAACAATCAGTCAGGTTTGCCTCCCAAAAAAAGCGTTGACTGTGTACAAAGCTATAGTCAGGTCTAAGATTGAATTTGCGCATTCTATATCTTGTAATTTTCCAAAACATATTGAGGAATGGCCCATTTCCGAAAGAGCTCTTTTTTGTATTGCCAAGAAGTTAATTAAGGTCAAAAGAATGAATTCTTCCTTTTTTCAAAAAGTTATATCTTTCAGTAATACGGTCTCTTGCAGCTACACATCTTGCTATTCAAAAACTCTATCATATTTTTGACAAGATAAATTCAATCGCTCTCTGAATTTTTATTACCAACAAATGTAGAGTCTTTATGAACATCCTTGAATCGATATCTACTCCGACGCAAACTATCTTACGTTGAGAAAAGCTTCAATGGCTATGCTTTATATGCCACTGACGGTTCTGTTGGACGTAATGTATCTGGCCTCTCGGTAGTGAAGCATCTATCTGAAATAGTGCATAAAGTCAGAATTGCAGAGGAACTTTGCTCGACTTTTATTGAATTGCTTCCCATCAAACGTTACTATGGAATGGAATGTCATAAGTTAACAGGCCATAATCGCAGGCTTTCTCGACAGCTACCAGCAATTGGAAATGGGACAACAAATTGCCAACGTCTCGGCACAAGTAACGCCTGCTATTCCACTAGCAACATTGAAAAATGTTCCACCATCACAGCCCTTCTGCATATTAAATAGTTTTTTTTTGCTAATAACACTATATTTATAAAATCAGTTAAAGGGCTTCTTGATGTTAACTCTTAATTTACAAGTTGTGCATTCTTCAAGTAATACTATAGCATGCTGCTTATCTCTAACGTTTTCAGGAAACGCTCAAATAATGGAAATGAACATAATGGAAATTATTTTTTTATTCTTTTTTATCGCATAATATTAAAATGCGATTCTTCTTCAAGGCATCGGTGTAACGTGTTGAAAATACCTTGAAAGACAAACGTAACTTGTTTTGATGCTTAGTGGGCATGCTAACGCCATCGGAAAGATTTGACAAAAACACGGTCACTATTTCTATTGACCCTGAGTGGGTGTTAGTCTCCACACGCTGACAGATTAGCAGCGGGGCGCACGCTCGCACGTTTTAAATCATTTCGCAAGGCGATTTGTGTGCAATTACTTAGTCTGTCATCTCTGCCAGCCCCATTAGTCAATTGTGATAGAGTTTCTGAAAATGGAAGACCATCGATCCATCGTATAGGAAATTTTAATCAATTTATTAATTTTATTAAGTAATTTTATTATTAATTCATTAATTTTATGATATGATTATGTGATATGCGATAAATAAGAAAAAAAAACCTTAACACCTGTTTACATATAAAACAGTCTTTAGAGCAAAGGATATATGATGAATAAAAAAAAAATCATAGCACGTGTTTACATATAAAAGAGTCTTCAGAGTAAATCATTTTTTGATCTCATTTAAATGCAAATGCGTTTTAACAGAATACCGTACACTTTAACGGACGCTCTAGCCTTTAACGGAAAACTCTAGACTTTAACAGAAAACTTCTTCATTTCATGACAAGCGGTGTAACGATTTCAAAGGTGACTGCAATTGCAAATATACTGTTCATATTTAAACTTGACTGAAGAAACCTAAAAGCTTATCTCCCGCTTCCATACAACTACAACTGAGTGGTGACATACTATTAAGGTAGCTATTATTGATGGTATCTAACATTTAGATATAGATGTAATAGAAGTTCTTTTGTCATTGTCAAGTCACATTGTAGCCTACTCGATCTCTTTGCAACGAAAAATGTACATCAACTCCGGGTACTAACTTGCTCTATTAGAAAAGCGAATTTATCTTCTTAATTCATGATAAATCCTTTTTTTCACTTTCAATCATATTGTATCTCTGTAAAAATCTTCTTCTTTTTTTTGCGAAAGTTTGCAACACTATTTTACATAACTTTCAACAACTCAACAATCTACATTAACACTAGCTAGCATGGCCGCAGTTCTGATTTTGTGCTTTACATACATTTCTCGTTAGTAATTACTACTGTTTTGTTATCTGAACGTATAAGCCACGAATTTTATTGAATTGGTCCATCTTAACATCAAAAAAAAAGATATGGGCGGGAAAGCGAAAATTAATAAGAGGAAACGTAAATTTCAGGGCCATCCAGAAGATGATCCTGAATTTGATTTAACCAAAAAACATCTAAAATCTATTCACACACAAGCTATGGAGAAACGCCTAATTATTGTGTTAGAAGGAGCTCAACTTGAAACTGTGAAAGTAAGAGGAAAGGCCAAATTGTGATCGTTATCATATTTACATATTTGGAATTTTTTTTAGATCGGTCACAGCTTTGAATTGTTAAATTGCGATGATCATAGCAATATTTTGAAAAAAAACAATCGTGATCCGGGCACATGTCGACCAGATATTACCCATCAATGTCTCCTAATGCTATTTGACTCGCCTCTAAATCGCGCCGGTCTTTTACAAGTGTATGTCCGCACCGAGCACAATATATTAATAGAAATAAATCCTCAGACACGCATACCCCGTACCTTCAAACGTTTCGCTGGTCTTATGGTTCAGTTATTGCATAAATTTTCTATACGAGCCAACGATACTTCAACAAAGTTGATGAAAGTTATTAAAAATCCTATTACAGACCATTTGCCAGTTGGTTGCAAAAAGTATGCCATGTCGTTTTCGGGCAAGCTATTAACAAACATACGCGATTTGGTACCTAAAAGTAAGTCGGAGCTTGTGAATTGTCAAGCTGAAGAAGAAGATGAACCTATAGTTCTAGTGGTGGGAGCTTTTGCCCATGGCGTGCTGAAATGTAACTACTCTGAAGGACTCTTTTCAATTAGTAATTACCCTTTATCGGCCGCTATAGCCTGTTCAAAACTGTGCAATGCCTTTGAAGAAGTTTGGGGAGTTGTATAAAACATGAACGTTTTTAAAATACATGCAAAATTCGACTTTTCAATATTTAATGAACAGGACAAAAGTAAAGTTCATTGCTACTAAACCTAACTTCTAGTGTAACGATAACGATTGCCGTTAACTTTAAATATTGCAAAACAAAAGCAATTGTTACGGAGCGGTTACTGGAGTTTCCCTTGAATAATCAACTTTATTCTGCTACGTCCATTAAAAATAATTCGCCACTCGGCACAAACGATCTATATTAAAAGTAAAAAAATTGTTTTAGTAAACATAAATAAATAAGGGGGAGAAATCGTTTAATTTATTAACTTGATATGTCCTGGGTACTATCCAAGTTTTGCGAGCTGATTTCTAAGTGCTTTATATACATATATACGTATATACATATATATATATATATATACGTGCGCGTATTGATATATTCTTTAGATGTTGCGTATAGACGAAATTTATAGAAAAAATTGCAGTTTTATTAATATTTGTGAAAAAAAAAGAAGATAATTTTACAGAACTTTCGAATTGGTAGCAGCAGGTTTTTCATTCTTTGCATCTGTTAATACGATGTTAGTCGTTGATGAGCCGCCAGACCCAGCAGTTTCACTAGTACTTTTCTTATCTTCGGCAGCCTTCTTCTCCGCCTCCCGTTTAGCAGCTGCTTCAGCCCTTTGTTGACGTATCAATGCGAGACGTGCCAAATCGGCTTTAGCCTCTGCAGTCTTACCTTCAGCCCTAAGTTGTTCGTAACGGCGACGATTCTTCTGATTCTCCAATTGTTTCTGTTCGCGACGCGACAACTCAGGCTTAGTATCCAAACTTATGTTCTCAATTTTTTGAGTAACTTTTTTAAGACGGCGATTTGGGTTTTCAATCTCTATTAAGCCGGCAACACCCTTCTTGGCGTCTCGATCTACTTCATCAGACTCATCAGAATCCTCACTGCTTGTTGGCATTTTGCCGGCTTTAGCTGATTGCTTCGATATGGCTCCGCGTGCCTTACTACCGCCTGGTTGGTCTGCGCCTTCATCATCAGACTCTGCTTCACTGCTAGAATCATCTTCGCTCTGCTGTTGCAGCTCCTCAGGAGAAGTGAAATGACGTCGACGTCCCTTATGATTCACGTATTTACCACGTGGCATTGTTACTGATATTTAAGGCAATGAATACGTTTAATTTGTATATTATTGATAAACGTGATTCCAAAAGGAACCTTGGCAAAAATTCAGAAAAAAAATTGCGTTTACACTTTCAGCATTGACAATTGAAAAATATTGTTTTTCCAGAGTTGCCATAACTATATATTTTGTAGAAAAAGTATTTTTAATTTGTAGATTGCTAAAAAGCCTATAAGTTTACACAATTATCTAATATTTGGACGCAAGCGAAAGGCAAAAATTTCTTCTCATAAGAAATGAAGAGAATTCGCAAAGACTAAAATACTCTATACAATAGTTTACAATAATGTAATTATTTTCCTGAAGCGTTTAATATCTGGTGCTAATTAATCAGAAGAAAAGAGAAAAGAAGTACGTTTGCAGGTTAAGTTTTGATTTAAGTAAAAAGACAGAAAAACCAACCAGAACGCATTAATATTTGAAATTTATTTCACTTTAATTTCGATTTCATCATCGATTAATGGTGGATCACACTTATTCTATATATCTATATTTGAATATCTTCAATGTTGTCGTTGAGAAAAACACAATCAGCTTCAGCGTATAACTAACGCAAAGTTAATTAATTAAATAATTTTATTAAGGCTGAAGCCAAGAACTTCGTGTTTACATGGAACCTTTTCTATAAAATAACTAATCTTCTATTGTTGATCTGCTGAAAAGAAGATGAACTATATATAGTCCCCACGCTTACAAACAAGTCAAAAAAAATTTGATTTTGCCTAAATTAAAAGATCATATCAATTAGCAGTCTATTCATATATTAAACAGTTTTTGTTTTAAAAACATATGGCATCGCGAGGGAAATCGAAGATTCCGCTATAGTGATGTTTTCGCCGCGCACTGCAGGATAATTGTCAATGAAAAATTTAGCTGTCGCTGTTGTACTCGGCTTTTTGGTGAAAACGCCTGAATGTAAAAGCGGAAGGCAAGTTTCAGTTTGATGATTACCCTCCTGCATAGAATGCGAATAAAAAAATTCGACAAAAACAGTGTAAAATTCATACAGAATTGACATTTTTAAGTACGGTTCATTTCCGTAAGAACACAAATAAATACACGAGCACTAAAATTAATTTTCATGAAAGTTTATAGCTAATCTTTCATTTTCCTCTTTTCTCAAAATTGGTTTAAAATCTTCTTAACGATGGAATAAAAATAAAAGCAAAATTCAGTTGAGAAAAGCACAGATTTTTTGAAGCAGTGTTGTATCGAAACCGTGCTATATTCGTTAATTTTGTACTGTGTTGCTTCGATATCGCGCTTCACAGCGGACTAAGCCTGCACACCTCTACTTATACAGATATCCACCTCAAAAAGCAGAATTCGATAAGCTTTTGCTTTCTAAATGTTTGACACAGCGTGACTTATTGTAACGGTTGAATATACAAATGAACATTTTCCAAAATTTCCGTTCGACACGGCCATTGGAACAAATCCACATAAAACAGCTTCTCCGTATTTTTTTTGTGTAACAAACGAGTGAGAAAAATAGCCCTTCATTTGCTAAAACTCGCCCTGAAGTATGTGTACCTCAAAATTTGTTTTTTTTCCGCTTTACAGAGAAATATATATACTTTTGTCGCACGAATTTCAGATTGCGACCACTGTAAATGATATGAAACATGTATCCATCTCAAGCTTACCCATCGCACTTTCGGGAACTCATAATCGATAATGTTTTGACAAGTAATTAAAATATAGACTGTCTAGTCGATCAAAACAATTTTACCCATAAACTTGAACTTTTCAATGCAATAAAAAATTTTTAGTTTTTTTTCTGTTTTTTTTTAAATTTATCTTATTGTAGATTAGTGACCAATCAACAATGTGACTATGTTACTTGGGATTGGGTGATGCTTGATGAAGGCAATGCACTTTGGCATAGTATTATAATGTAAGTGACAGTAGGACAAACGTGGCTAAGAAGATATTTTAACTTTACTCCTATATACGGCATATTTGAACAAGCAATTGACATTCTCTTGGCGGCAATCGTAAGGTGAATTGCTTTTAATTCCTAGCATATATCATGTATAAAACTATTAATCTCTTCTAGATGATACGGGCAGCACAGATGTGTTCATGTACCTGAGGCCTTTTTATTCATATGACATATCGCATTCTTGTGGGTCTAATCCTAAAGTCTGTTGACAGTTTGATTTTAAGCCCATTTCAGGTTTTGAACTTAATGTTCCTTGGAGGGTATCGTTTTAAAAGATCAGAGACAAAAATGTAGCTGAACGGCTAGCGTGGCAATGTCAATTAAATGAATTGTTATTATTTTTATTCACATTTTAAAACAGGGCTATTAGCGGAGAGATAAATCCGAGCTATACAGTACCAATGTTGTGCTATTTCTCTTAGTCAACGATTTTTGTTGCAGCCAAAATATGGAATGGGAAATGCAACCGATTAATTATGAGGCTTTATTTGCACATATCAGTGCGGAGATTTCTTCACGTATGCCGAATGCGCTGATAACTAATGCATAACTAATGGAGCAGTTAGGATTGCAGCCATAACTGGGTCTATTAAATTTCTTATGTATAGGTTGCTATACCTCACGGCCCTATCATAAGCGTTTTAATGGCGTTTGCTAATGTATAAGAGTTAAACAGTGCTGCCTAATTGTATTGTTTTTTTTTGTATACCTGGAAGAATTCTATCAACATTGATTGTTAAGATTTCATTAACTGTGGCAGCTTTACAACTATATAGCATTTATTTCGGTGTAGCTTGGCATCTCTGCTCTGTAAGAAAACAGGCCTAATTACGAGAAAAGTCAACAATACAAATTTCTGCAAAGCAGGAGAAAATTATATTTAATTTGTGTTTTTTTTTCGTTTGTTTGGGCGTGTGTGCGTGTTTTTTTTTTAGTGCCTACATCGAAGGTTTATAATGTTTTCAAAAAAAAAGAAGAAACCTCTAATTTCTATGCCGAGCAATTTTGAGCATCGTGTTCATACAGGCTTCGATAAGCGTGAGCAGCGTTATGTGGGGCTTCCGCTACAATGGGCGTCCATTGTGGGCAATAATCAGATTTTAAAATCAACCAATCGGCCACTACCTATGGTTGATCCTTCTGAAATAACACCAACAGAAATTTTAGACCTTAAGACGATTGTAAGGCCACATCATAATAATAATCGAGCTGACACAACATCGCTAAACAGCAGTTTGGTTTCGCAAGCTACAATAATGGGTAATGCTGCTGGCCATCAACATATGAACGCCATGGGAATTGACAATGGGGGAGCAAGTTTTGTGGGATCGGGGGTGTTAGGCGGTGTGATAAATTCCGCAGCTATCACTGGTGGAGGAGCCATAGTGTTGCCAAAAACTTCACATGTAGCGCGCTCAAACTCTTTACGCAGTTCAAGTCCACCACGTGTACGCAGAGATTTGCGTGGTAATGCAAATATACCACCAGCCGTTCCCGAAGAGTCTACGAGCATTATGAATCACACGGTTAATACTGCATTTAAGTCACAACCTCAGCAATCTGTGGCGGCGTCAAATCAGTCCGCTCTATATGTAGGTGGGCAACAGTCCCAAAATGGTGGCGCCTCGGGTGCTCCATTAGCGGTACGCATTGATTTTCCAACATCGACGATGTCTGGTACATTGCCATACCATCGAGTTAGTACATCCGGGTCTCATGTTCACGCTCAACAAACCTCCCCTGGAGGATCGATAACAAGCAATACCCGTTCCACACATTCGCATATATCCACACATTCCCATATACATCATATAAATAATAGCAACAACAACAATAGCAATTTTCCTGTATACCCCACACAGCAAAATCAAATTCACCCGATATCGCCGCCAACCGTAGCTAATCCACCAGTCTTGCAACAGCAGCAGTATGCTTCGCCTCCGCAACACTTGCCTCAACAAACATTAACAAAATCCTTAGGCGGAGCTAACATAATGCCAAATGATTCAAATCAAAATCACCCACACCATTCTCTAACGCACTCACAAACCAAAACAGCTTCTAGAGCTTCGAGTTCTAGTGGCGGTACCACAGCAGTAGGGGCAGCTGGACCAACAAGCGGCACTGTTGCTGCTGTAAATACGTCAGCGATCCCACCTGCCAAACAAGAACAACGACTTACGCATGAACAGGTCGGATAATATACTATGAAAATCTAATAACCGATTAAACGATTCTCAATTTATTATTACAGTTCCGCGCCGCTTTACAAATGGTCGTTTCGGCAGGTGATCCACGAGAAAACCTCGAGAATTTCATGAAAATTGGTGAAGGTTCTACAGGCACGGTTTGCATAGCAACTGACAAGTCTACGGGTAAACATATTTTAGCGAATGTAAATTTCTAATTGCTTTTCACTCATTCCTTTACAGGACGTCAGGTCGCTGTAAAAAAGATGGATTTACGTAAACAGCAACGTCGTGAATTGCTATTTAATGAAGTTGTCATCATGCGCGACTATCATCATCCAAATATCGTCGAAACATATTCTAGTTTTTTGGTTAATGATGAACTATGGGTCGTTATGGAATATTTGGAAGGTGGTGCACTAACCGATATTGTTACTCATTCGCGTATGGATGAGGAACAAATCGCCACCGTATGTAAACAGTGCCTTAAAGCGTTGGCCTATTTGCATTCACAGGTGCGTGATTTGAATGAAAGAGAAAACTTTTCGTTGCAAGTTAATTAATTTTATGTGTACGTCTTGGATGTACGCGTTTAAACGCACATGCATACTTATGCACCTGAATACATAAAACTAATTTTACGGTTAAAGTATTTGAAATAGTTTAAAGCTAACTGGGGTGTGGCTCTCAAAGATATTTAAATTGCATTTTGATAGGTGCTACCCTTTAAATAGACGAAGTAACTGAGTTTTTTTATTTTACCCGTTCGTGTGTGTATATTAAATCTACTAAATTTCATTTGTAACGGAGACGTACCTTTCTACGATACGTTTACGTGTCTCGCGAGCTTTATGCGAGCAGCATCGTTACATACGTTACCTAGCAATCAAGTAAAAAGACATTTTTGGTTTACATAGCTGGTGCGCTAACGGTGCTGCTACGTAAAGAGAGATCGTTAACAAAAAAAAAAAAAAAAAAAAAAAAAAAAAAAAAAAAAAAAAAAAAAAAGCAGCAGCAGCTCATACTTTCCTTAGCGCCTAAAACACATCGTAGCAAAGTAAGCATATGGAGTGCATTAAAAAATTCGCTTGAGCTGAACATAATTGTGCGTAGTACGTTGTAATGAGATTACAATTGGTCTCAAAGCTCTATGAAATCTCCCATTCCAGAAATGATGTTTGTAGACTACAGCAATGGTGAGTGTGACAAGAGAGAAAAAGAAAGTCAATTTGAATAAAAGCATAAAAAATGGCATGGGGGGGGGGGGTTAAATCAATGCCAGCAAGTCACGAAGGGAGAGAACCGATTGATATAAAAAATGCAAAGAAAATAGATAAGGTATAGTGGTATTGTAGAAGTACACATATAATGTCATTCGATTTGTCGTATTCAAGGTCGGGTATTATTAACCCCGCAAATAGTTTCGATCATATAACTAAAGCTTGTCCAATATGACAAACAGCTTAGCGGATGTCATCTTTACGTGCAAAACGGTGATGATCCGACAAAAGTGCACAAGGAAAAAGAGATAGAAAATCTCCGTAGCCTAATGGATGAAAACGCAATCGTATGTAAATATTCTATTCAAAGCTTGTTAGAGTGCGATGTTCGATTTCCTATTAATTTTTATCCGATGGAGATCAATCTGATATTCTATTTTCACATGGATCATGAAAATGCATTGAAAACAAATGTACGTTGGTACTCTTTCCCAGTTTATCAAATCCAAGTCGATTTTCGATTAGTTAAGAGTTGAAACCAGATATGATAACAATTTTAAGGGTCTGAATTAGTTTTTGTTAAATGGCGCTACTGTTTTTTTTTTTCTGGTTTTTGCCAAATATTTGTCGAAATTACTGATAACATTAAATAACAATAAAAAGACTACAGTCGGACAAGGTATACTATTAAATATCCTACACCATTTCACTTAGTATAATATTTTACTTACTTTTTTCATGAAATGGTTAATTTCCATGGGTATTTTTACCCACATGGGTACCCTGAACACCTGAACTAAATTTTTTGTAAAAAAATCTTATTATTTTTTAAAAATTTACGCCATAAAGTACTAAAAATTAACATTTCTCGCCATATAAAGGTTTCCTTCCACGAGAGATCATATTATGCGAGGTTTAAAAAGTACACTTGCGTGGTGCAAAATTTTTTACATTTAATATTTAAACTTTAATTAACCTTTTTGCATTACAAGGTCTAGCCTTTCGCGGGAACAATTATATGGAAAGGTGTTTACAAAACATTTAAATAAAATGCTTTCCTGATTCAATATTTTTACGTTAGCTTCGTTAGCTCAAAACACTAACTAATTTTTAAAATTTTTAACATTGTGAAGTAAAACAAGTAGCTTGGCGAGTCGTCGTAAAAAACGATCCTATCCAAATCCATTTTAAATAAATGTTAGCCTTAGGGCAATACACATCAGTGTTTGAAATTGCGTCAAAATATCTCAAAAATTAGAATCTGTAGCATGAACACAGAAATACATGGAAAGACTGACTGGCAAACAAGTTAATACGATTCAAAAAATTATACTGAATGGATTTCTTCTTTCCATACATCCACGCATCCTTCCTCTAACCCATCGATTCAAATAAAAGCACTACAGTGGGTTGTGGGTTTTTAAAAAGAAGGCGTTGTATGAGAATGTGGCCGAAAAAGTGGTCCGCTCTGAGCAATTTTCCAACAGTGTTCTTCGTTAGGTCAAAACGCGCCAGTGTATCAAATTTTATGAAAATATCTTGAAAATGACGAGCTATGAGTTGACAGATCAGATCGATTCCGGAAATGCTTCTAAAGAGCGTTCTTTTTTGGGCCGAAACGCGTCAGTTTTCTAAATTGCTTTAAAATATCTCAAGACCTAGCGATCTGTAGGTTGAAATCAAAAACAGAAGAGACACATGAACGGGCGGGCAGGCTTAGATCGATCCTATATGCTTTTGCTTTATGAAGTTTGGGTATAAAGTGTGATGTGTGATGTGATACCAAGAAGTCATTAACAGAACTTTTAGCCACAAAGAGCAAACAAATAAATTGCTACTAATCATCAGTGCTATCGATAATACGAACAACAAAAGCGTTGAGATTGCGCTTAGTAAGTTTAATTTTGAAACAGCTCGTGATGGTGTGTCTCTATGCATTTAGTTTTCTCTGGTAAAATGTATCAATTATAAATGATAAAACTTAATTTATATTTGGATTTGTTTTGTTTTGTTTTTTTTATTTTTTTATAGGGCGTTATACATCGAGACATTAAATCCGATTCAATACTCTTGGCAGCGGACGGTCGCGTTAAGCTATCCGATTTTGGTTTTTGTGCTCAAGTATCGCAGGAATTGCCTAAGCGAAAATCCCTGGTAGGCACACCCTATTGGATGTCACCTGAAGTTATATCGCGTTTGCCTTATGGTCCGGAAGTTGATATCTGGTCTTTGGGCATAATGGTCATTGAAATGGTGGACGGTGAGCCACCGTTCTTTAATGAGCCACCTTTACAGGCTATGAGACGTATACGCGATATGCTGCCACCAAATTTAAAAAATGCTCATAAAGTTTCGCCGCGTTTACAGTCATTTTTGGATCGGATGCTGGTACGAGACCCAGCTCAACGAGCAACAGCTGCTGATCTATTAGCTCACCCATTCTTAAGGCAGGCGGGGCCACCGTCTCTGTTGGTACCGCTAATGCGTAACACCCGGCAGCATTAATGAATGTTTACATCGACGAATATATTTTGCAGCAGTTTTTGTAAGGTCACAAAAAAAAAAAAAAAAAAGAAGAAAAACGCGATACTTAAATTATAATACAACATGAGGCAGACGGTTTTTAAGTGGATAAGTTGTGTCGAGACGATTTAAACAAGATTTTAATTCCCCTCCAAACAAGTAAAAAAGTTTTTGATTTTTTTCTTTATTTTACTATGTTTTTTTTTTATTGAAACTTTTGTTTCCGTTTAAATCATGTTATTATGCATTTTTTTTATTTTTTATTATTATTATTATTATTATTATGATAATGAATTATTTCTATTTAAAATTTTCTTTAGAAATGTAACAATTTTACCACTTTTATTTTTATTATTATTATTATTATTATTTTTTTTTTTTAAATTAAGATTAATAATGTTTAAGAGTGCCGTGAGTCATTTTATACATAAATAATTACATTAAAGTATTTTATTTTTTCGCCCTGCTAAAAGGTTTCAAATCATTGTTAAGCGCTTTTAACCTTAAAAATGTATCCGAAAACAAAGAGTCCTTTAAAACTAAAGTGCCTTTAGTACACTTGTCATGTACCATGTGTGTATACGCAAAACAATTTATAATTTAATTACAACGAACGAATTTTATTTTATATGAATACATATATAGTAAAATAATATCATGATACTGACAAACATTCCCCGAAAATAAAGTAAAACTAAAATTATGTACAGAAATTATTAAAAACTTACGCATTTGCTAAAAAACATTCCCAGTATTTATATCCACAACAGCCGAAGGAAGTCATTTAGTTTGTAAGTCTTAAAAATATGTATCAGAGGGCTAAAATGAAGCTATCAAGCGATTTGGCAGTTGGCCGTTCGCCTATTCATAGCGCTTGCTAACACTTATGACAACCACAAAAACGAGAAGAGAAAAAATAAGTAATATGACGGTACTTGATTTAAATTGACTTAAACAAAAAAAAAAAAAAAAGGTGGTATAAATAATAAACAAACTCACACAACAAAAAAAACAAATCGATCTATATTAATAATTGATCTGAAATTAAAATGAAAATGCTCGGAGCATTGATGTAATAAACTTTTTGAACTTTGATGAATACTTCAGATTATCAGAAATCAAATAAAGTTATCTATCAACTACCACGCCCCCCGGTGGCCAATGGATTACAAAGCACTTTCTTAACTTTGGACCGGTGAGTTCGGCCTATAAAAAAAATTTTTTTTACCGACTTTTAGATTGATATCGATTATAAGTTCACAAGCGTCACTTATCCAATTCCAGCTTTTGAGTGAGTGTTCTAAACACCATCGATACATATACATATATGTATAGCTAATCGAATAAAAGTATGAATGTATGTTATCTTAATATGTATTTCTAGGAGTTACAAACTGAATGAAAAATCGAATATTATTAAATAAATGAAATTTTTGTTTAAATTGGTTAAGCCTACTGAAATTTGTTGTTGTTGTTGCTGTTGCTGTTGTTATTAGATATGAAAAGAAATACTTTTGACTATTTTTAAATTGTTTCGAATTTTTTTTATCGCAAAATTCGTCAGTACCGTACTGAATATCTGTAAGTCTTTGCCATTGATCGTACGCCTTCTTGGCGTAAATTCATCCAACTGTTACTCTCAGTCTCAAAAATCATCAAACAATTCAAAATAATCAAATAACCAAAAATTCTTATAAGTGTGAAATTAAAAACTGAAATTACGTTACTGGATGATGAATCTATAAGATAACGGGACTCTTCCATACTTCAACTTATAAACAAAAAAGGAAAAAATTTCTAAAACGAAAATCAGTTTTTTATGCGCTTAATATTAAAAAAAAAGATGATAAGTATGAAGGTTTCAAAAAAATGCAAGTCACTATCTCTCTCAAATCACTAGATTCAAAATAATTTGGATGATGGTTGATTTTCAAGAATGACGGTGTAAATCGCAAGTTATTGAGATTTTTCTAGTCTTTTATATACATATATACATAATTTTATAAATTTCTTGCGGAATTCAATCAAATGAAAAAAACATTACTACGAAACTAGAAACATTTTTCTTCGATTATCATACAAAAATAAATCGCTCCAACTGACCAAATTTTAAATGAAGCGCAAAGTATGCTGCTTCTGCTCCTCCTCTAATTATGGATGATGTCATGGAAAAGTTGGATCTTCAAAGATACATTGGAAGAAAAGTTAAAGAGGAAATTGCAGAAGGAAATTTACAATACCATCATCAACACTACTCTTGCATTAACTCTCAATTAACTCCACCTCTATATCCAACAAATGTTGAAAAAACCAAGATCCAAACATTCTCGAGAATTCGCCTTGGTCATACAATTGCAACTCACCAATGGATCCTGAAGAAGTCTTCTTCCCCAATCTGCTGTTGTGGACAAACTCTTACTATAAAGCGCATTCTCTGCGACTGCCTCAACTTTTCCTTGGCTAGAAGTATTGCATTTGGAACGATTAACCCTTTGAACATTCTACAATCAGCTTCATTACTTTATTAATACTACTAAGCTCATTATCTAATGCACATTTTATTATTTTTCTTTTTTTTTAATTAGAGCCGATAGCCTGTGTTGCTAGTGCTCAGTGTCTTTTTTTAGTCTAAGAATTCATTTCATTAGTCTAAAATTAAAATAATAATAATAATAATAATAATAAATGAAGCGCATAATGTATTGTAGTTTAGATGATTTCGCCTGACCATATGTATCGTGTATGGCTATCAACCTGGTGGCTATCAACCTAAAAAAAAAATTGCATCAAATTTCAAGGTATGTAAGGTACACCCGACGCATATGCAAAATTAAAATCATATCGGCCTAGATGCCAAATATAAGGACCAGAGAGAACTAGAGTTAAGGCACTTTTAAACTTGACAGAATGTTTAAACAATATTCTACCGTTAATACATTAATTTTGTTATTAGTCCCCCAAGTGCATGGAAGCAAATAATATATTTTGTGCATATTACGTTCATATTGCCGATGAGCGATTGCAACGGACAATTGCAACCTTGAAGATGCTTGGTATGTGATTGACAGTAAACTTACTTGACAAAACTTTGATTCATATCACTGGTCTTATTCGTGGAATGGCTTAATAGAATTCTCAAATTTTTATGCTTGTGAGTTGCATTGAGCGCTTCTAGTACGGGCGTGTAATAAATTTCCTTACTTGCAAATAAATCAATCAATTGAACTGTTAAATAGTTTTATATATTGTTTAAGTTAAAAAGAAAAAAAAAAAAAAAAAAAAAAAAAAGCTGAAGCAAAGAACTTACATAGATTTCACGGGAGGTGTGAAAGGATTTGACATTTTCGTAGTCAACGTCTACTAATTCTTTTCATTCTTTGCATTACTACTTTGAGAGTGAATTGTGGCCCTCTGTTTTTTTACTTTTCATTTTTTACTCACTTTAACACTTTGTTGTAATTTCAGTAAACACTGGCGTATACGATTGTCTTCGTCTACGCCACGCTTCTGTTCGACTATCATAATTTCGGCCAATAGATAATCCATAATGTCGGCTATTAATTCAGGAGAGATTTGCGATAACTGCATTAATAGGTCAAAATAAAAAAACGTATAATACGCTAAATGCTTTTTGGTTAAAGTGCGCAATTGTTGTAGAAAGAGCTCCTTAAGTGATTTGGAATTGCGAAATAAATCGCAATTTAGAAGACGTTGAAATAGCGCAAGCAATAAAGTACGACTGGGTACTAATTCATCAACCATCATAATGTGGCATAGAGTAGCCAAGCAAGTACCTTTGATAAATAACGATAAACGCTGCTCGTTCAAAGGATCATCTCGTTGACAGAAGGCGTCAACTATTTCTTGAAATATTGTAATGACTAGGCAAGCGTAAGGATCCGCCTGTCGACGTTGCGTATTTAAAAAGAGTGTTGTTAGTTTCTCGAAAACGAATAAAGAGAGCTCTTGGTTTTGTCCCTGCAAGCAGATGATAAACGGACGTGCTACCAATTTCGAATTGGGTGAGATTTTAAAATGTGGCGTCCATTTCTGAATAAGATCAGTTAAGGTCTTGTTTATATATCCGTCAGTTTTGAAATTCAGCTGACCTATTCCCTGCACCACCACCGGCCACACTTTATGCACCAATTGCGCTAATTTGCCTTCAGGTGCTTTACCCATTTGAACAGTGGTAGGTAAGACATATCGTGTAATAGCAATATGCAAAAAACAAGTTATTTTCGATTTAACGTAAATCATATGAGGACAATTGTATATAACTATGGCCAGGAAGCTATAAAAGCGAAATAATATATCGAGCTTCTCAAACTTCGAATCGATCGACACTAACCACTTGTCAAAATTGCGTATGTAGAGATTGAAATTATGAGTTAAACGTAGGCATTTTTGTTGATCTTCTAACGATTCCTGGTAATTTCTGCCTATCGCTGCTATAAAATTGTATAAAGGTTCTTTCGCTTCCATCAAATCGCCCGCATCATTATTAGTGATATATTGATAGTCTGCCAGTTGCACAACGATTTTAGTTAATTCTTTTACTTCCTCTTGGCTATGCGTTAACAGAACTAAACTTTTCAACCAAATTTGCATCGTTATAGAAGAATCCACCAGTGATTTACGTTCGCTGACGAGAATTTTCAATAAGAAATTTAGTTGAGTGCCGCGGTTAATACACTGTGCCTCGGTAAAATGTGTAAATAGCTTTCGAAAACCTTGTGTTTCCTGATTTAAAGGAGAACAAATGCAAAAGTCAGCAGCCAATTGAGCCAAGAAATGGCTACTGTTTGTCAAAAACTGTTGTTTAACGAATGGCAATATGAAGCTGTGTAAGGCCTGCATTAGTTGATTGCCTGAATCGAGATAAATTTCAGTTGATTGCAATTTCGTAAATATCAAATGCAAGGCTTCGAACGTAAGCTTTTGCTCCACAGGCAAGCAATTGCTAAGAAAGTTGGGTATCCATGAACCAATAAGCAAATGCTCGCCAAGCTGAAAATCGTCAGTTAGCTGGTAGATATCTAGTAAAGTATCAGCTATGATTTTCGAAACAGCTAAATCGTTACCTATGCTGTTTAATTGCTGCAAAACTTTTTTAATATAATCTGTCATATCACTGCGATTTTCGGCATGCAAAATCCACAAGGCCATATGACCCTTGGCTACCGCGATCTGTTTATTTGGAGTTATTTTATCAAACTGCAAGGCTAGTAATTTGTCTCGCAGCTTAGGAGCCAAATCGTTGAAATCTCCATTAAGAGCCAAAAGCAAAAACAATTCAATAAGATGATGTATACCGGTTTCATTTAGAGTCAAAAACTTTTGTGCACTGAATTTCGCGTAAATGCGTCCTAAAAGTTTCTGAGCTTGATGGTTGGCTTGTGAGGTCGATAATCGTTCCAATAACTTCCCTAGCAGCACGTTAAATAAGGTAAAACTGGCAAGATTGACGTCCGGCTTTTTTTGCAACAGCGCTCTATATTTATCCACATAAGTTCGGCCAGTTGAACAGGTCACGGCCAAATTGCTGGGCACACCACCCGGAACGTAGAAAGAAGAATTGAGTTTTTTATGAAAATGTTCCCATAACAGCATAGGTATTTGCACTTTGGCTGGCCACCATTGCAATAAAGTGGGCGTTAGCAAAGCTATATAGACGCGTAGCTGTTCCTCCTGAGGGTTGTTTCGTAGAAATTCCTGTGTTATCCGGTCGCAAAATTCAAAATTTTCATTCGATTCTGTTAACGCACGTGCATATTGGGGTCCTTCAAATAAACCGTTCGAACGATAGCCATGCAAACGCACCAAAGCATTTAGGAGCCAGTTCGAAAATTCACAATAAGTTAATGAATTCAAAGAGTAAATGTCTGAAAAAAACAAATATTAATCGCAAAATTAAAATTTTCAATTTATTTTGGCTTCACGAATCGTACCTAATTTTTTCTTAACATTTTCCATAACTCTATTATATAGCTTCCAAAACGTTAAATGCTCTTCTAAAAAACATAATGACCATTTTTCTAAAGACAACTGTACAAGTAACCATAACTCTTTAAAACAGCAACATGGAAAAGGAGATGAAAATAATAACTCGGCTGAACATTTTTTCTTAAATATGAACACAGAGCATGCAGCCAAGTCTTCTACAAAACGCTCCAGTTGATTTAGGAAATCGTGAAGAGAGTTTTTTGCTTCTTCTTCTTCTCGATTTTCATAAGTTGAATTTGGTATCCATTCGTATTTATAGAGCAGGCATAAATCTAAAAATTTCCATTCCATTGATCCATGCAATAAATGATAGGCGGGTATATGGCAATCGTTGCCTTTACAGCTATTGGCAAAATACAAATGTTTCAAGTCGTCCTCTTGTGTAACGCTATTTATTAGAGATCTTAACCGAATTAAATGCGTGCGCATAAGAGGCCATTGATCCTTCTGTAAGTTTCGTAATAACAAATGCATCAACCTGGTAACTTCACGGCGTTTTTGACAGTATTCTATGTTTTGCGGTGTATTTAAAGGATTTTCTGTACTTGCGACCAAGTGTTGAATATTCATGCTGCAATTTAAAAGGATGTAAAGCAATATCCTCTTGAATTCCGTGACTTACCAGGCTTCGCCGAAAAGGAACCGACACACTGCACTGCCATGTATATGTTTCCATTGCAATTTATAAGCCGTGAGACTAATATCGTCTATAATTTGTTTATTTTCAAGTAAATAGTTATTTAAAAAACCATTGCGTACAAAACCATCTTCAGAAAATTGCGAAGTTAAAGTATCAGGACCTTGACAATGCAGTTCAAGAATCTCATTGTCACTAATGTTGGTCGCTTGAGTAGGTTCTATGCTATTTGTTGTTGATGCTAATAAAATATCATCTTCATCTAGATCAAATAAATTGAAATCCATCCGAGCAAACTTTCAAAAAGTAAATTATGAATATTGTAATGAATGCCTAATTCAGTGCAGTGCATATGCGCAACTCGTTCAGTGTAAGACAAACGTAGTGCAATATCAGTTTAAAGTTTGCTACGCTATTAAGTACTTGCACTTCCAGTTCATTAAGTTATTATTTGCAAATGGCTATTAAAACAAAATAAATTTATTTTTAAAAATGCAAATAAAAAACAAACTTGTTTCGTTTGGAGTGTGTTCAAACGTTACGATCAGTTCGCAATGTTTATCAAACTACAAGAAAAAAAACCAAACCGAAATGGAACGAGTAAACTGTCGCGAACCTAACTGGGAAAAATGAGCATTTAACAAAATAATTTTATATTAAGAATATTGTTTTAAATGAATTTTTAAGCCGATAGATAGCCTTAGATGCTAGTGCTTTTAAGAGTTTAGTTCTAGAATTTATTTCTCTGGCGAAATTAATAATAATAATAATAATAAATGAATTTTTCCATTTTTTCGTTTATTTTGTAGATTCGTCAACATATTTTGTGTATTTAGCATTTACATCCAAGTTAATACATACATGTCTCTTTTCATATTTTAATCGACCCATTGCAAATTTTAAGCAATACTATTTTGTTTACTTAGCCAATCTTATGACTTTCTTCAATATTTTAGCAGTAAAATCAAAAGAGAGCTTTACTTTTCATAACTACTAAGTTATAAATTCAAGAATGTATTTATGGCGATCCGCTAAGAGATAGGTGAGTTGATGATCGCAAAATTGTCAAAAATTTAATATCCACAGTTAAATATCGATATGGAAAACTGTAGCATATAATTAATTCAATGTAATTGCAGATGAAAAGCTTAGTGTAAACCTCTTTTCCGGCCACGTAAAACTTGAAGTTTTTGCAAACACAAATAAAAAAAATCATAGGTCAAATCTATTATAAATTTCTTCTTGTTAAAAAAAAATATTTTAGTTTGCATAAAAATGAAAAGTAATGTTATTTAAAAAAAAAGAAGAACGATAAATGCATGCTGGACTTATTTATTACACGATATAGTTTTGCGATTTGCTTGTTTCAGTTTAATTCCATTGCATTCCGATTTGCTAATCTCATTATACTGTTGAGCATATGCAAATATTAAACATCCGTAAATCTTGTACTAAATTTCCCGCGTAATTAATTTAGTGTGGATTTTGTTGTTTTTGTTCGCTGGCTTTTGTTTCAATAATATTGTTAAATTTTTATTGTTAAAAAAAAAAAAAGAAAAAAGAATATGTTTTGAAAGTTAGTAAATTAGCAGTTAAGATCAAAAATATCTAAAGTGTTTTGTTAACTTGATGTGACAAAGATGTTTATTCAAGACCTCCGACAAGATTTTTATAACCGTTTAATTGACAAACGCATCTTAATTATTGTTAATTATGATATTGATGCTATCTGTGCGAGTAAAATATTACAAGCATTGTTGAAGTATGATCATAAGGTGTATACCGTTGTACCAATAATGGGCTTAGCTGGTCTAAAGAGAGCCTATCGTGAACATCAAGACGATGTAAAATTTGTATTATTGTTAAATTGCGGTGGTTGCGTCGATATTGTAGAGCTTTTGCAACCTGATGAGGATGTGATTTTCTTTATATGTGATGCTCATCGTCCATTTGATGTTTGCAATATATACAGTGATCGTCAGGTAAAGTAATTAACAAAGAACACACTCTCCTTTCTTCTTGTAATCGCCATTCATTAAACCTAAAAGGTATGTCTGTTGGCTGATCCTTCAGCAGAAGAGAATATTCCAGCTTTTGAATCTATATTTTGTGAGTCGGATAATGATGAAGATGACAACGATACTAGTGAAGAAGATGACAATGCTGAAGAACCTGCAGACACGGAACACTCGGCCCAAACTGCGAAGAAGTTAAGTCGAATGGAAAAATATGAACATCGCGTACTTAAACAGCGTGAACGACGTGTTTGGGAAAATGAACGTGACCGGATAATGTTCGAGTATACACAGTTTAGTTATTACGGGCGTTCATCGGCACTAACAATATTCGAATTGGCTTGGAAGCTTTCTAAGGATGAAATGGATTTGCTATGGTGGGCGATTGTTGGTATTACTGAACAATTAATTTTGGGCAAAATAGAAAGTAGTGTTTACACATTAGAAATCGATAATATCCAGTCGCACGTCAATCGACTGACTAACAAAATTAATGATCAAAGCAATATGAGTGCTTCCAAGATTGGTTTTGAAAATGATCTGCATTTGGTACTATATCGACATTGGAGTGTTCTAGAATCTATGCGGTACACGCGTTACTGTGCTTGCAAACTTAAATTGTGGACCTTAAGAGGCGAAAAGAAACTTCATGAACTTCTAGTTGAAATGGGTTTACCCTTGGTGCATGCGCGTCAAATGTTTAGTTCTATGGATTTGGTATTGCGGCAAGAATTTTTTTCTATGATCGCCAAACTGGCTGAAAAGTATGCAATACCGGATATTATATATGGTTCATTTACACTGCACTATGGTTATCGAAATCGTTATTCGGCGGCTGATTTTGTGTACGCTTTGCTGGCCGTTTTGGAATCGGTGAAAAAGGATAAGACTCCCGAAGTTTGCTTCCTCGAGGCTCTTGATAGTCTAAGTCGGAATCACAAAGATATTCTGATAGCTGGTATAGAAGGCTCCAAGCTATTGCATCAAGCGATTTTTAAACAAGTCCAAAGCAGCTTGGAAAGTCATCAAATATTTTCGACAGGTTCGTTCCTGTATTTTATACTCAACCAGGAGAATACATACTTCTCTTATCCGTATGGATTGTTACTGCTGGCTAAGTTTATGCTCAATGGTCATGTGGCAACGTCACGTAGCCGCACTGCTCCGGAACTGCCTCTAATTGTTAGCTGTCCTATTGATGCTGAACGTGGTCTTTGCTTATTAGCAGGCATACCTCCCGTCCAAGAGGATTCTCCAAAGAATTTCTTTGGTAAAGCTTTCGAGCAGGCGGCTCAAAAATGTAATGCAGCTATTTTACAGGACTTTTTTGAAACCTCACTCATACAGATACGACAAAGCGATTTGACACGATTTTTAGATGCCCTAACTGTACTTTTATCTTAACTTAATAATCCATTAGTTTAGAATTACAAATAGACTGAGAACATACGGGAAAATGAGTAGACAATATATATATATATATGTTTTTTTTTTTTTTTTTTTTGCTATTTGTTTAATTAGAACGAATATGAATATAACAACGGTGATCAATCATTCATTGATTCATTCATTGATTCACATAAGAGATTTATCGAGATTTTTTTTTTCTTTGAGTTTCTTTCATCATCACTGATCGTTTTTTATTGGTTGTGGAAAATTTTGATCGATCATCGTTGTTGTATGAATACACGTTGCTACTTAATTTAAAGATAAAAATTAACTTAACGTAGTTTAGTTTTTAAAGCATAGTACTTTATAAGATAACTATTATTCATGTTGTTAAACTATTTAATTATATAAATGATATTCAACTAGTGTGTAATCGTTAATGAAATTTATATGAAATATAATTCCTATAAATAGTTTTGTATACAAATACTATTAACGATTATTAACGCCATTTTACATGCTATTGGGATAACGTAAGTAATGATAATAACTAAAAGATTAATCGTAAATTTTATATGATAGGATATTGAATAGGTTTTAATCTAAAAAGTAAATGAATCTTGAAACTAACTTGATTACGTTGAAAATATGATATAGTTTGCAATAGTTCGAATTTATCGAAACTCGAATATACAATGAAAAGAACGCTATTCTTATGTAATATATGGCATTTCATAAATTTTATTTCGCTTTCTCTTCCAAGCCTATATAACATTGTCTCGATTATCCCTCATACTACTTTTGACAATTCGAGCGCATCCTAAACAATTTGTATCGCTGTAGAATACCGCATATTGTCCAGGTGTTATGGCACGCAAAGGTTTTTCAAGCAAAACTTCCAATTCATCGCTCTTCATATCAAAATTTCTATAAATTAAACAATTTACGAGAGGTTTGGTATGTTGAAAACGGAAGCGACATTTCAATACACTATTCGGTTTGATTAAAGGATCTGGACATAACCAATTCACGTGATTGGTAAAGATTACGTCATTAAATAATTTTGGATGATTATGACCTGATGCTATATAAATTGTGTTAGTAAAAATGTCTTTTTGTGCAACATAATACGGTTTTAGATGAGAACTTAGACGGCAGCGTTGTCCTATTGTCCATAGATGTATACCGTCGTGTTGGCCTACTATTTGCTGAGTATCAATGTCGATAAAATTACCGGGCTTTGGAATTATATACTTGAAAAATATAAAAGCCTAAGATGTAATCTTTCATTAACTCATTCAATAAATAATTACCTCCTTAATGAATTCTTTAAAATCCCGATGACCAACAAAACAAATGCCTGTACTCTCTCTTTTTTGTGTTAAACGATTCAGGCCGCATTTTTTAGCGATTTCTTTTGTTTCAATTTTATAAAGATCGCTTAGGGGAAACATGATTTTACGCAATACGTCACGTTTAATAGCTGCTAGGAAAAATGTCTGATCTTTAAATGCATCTTTTGGTATCCTAAGTTCAGCAGCTAATTAAATTAATTATGCAATTAATTTGTGCGATAGAAGATATTGAAATATTTCTTTAATGTTTACCTTTTCCTTCTTCATAGTACTCTAGATATGGTCCGAAATTCGTCTTCGCGTAATGGCCCGTAGCAATAGCATCGTACTTTAAGTTTTCTAACGCATGTTTATAAAATAAATCAAATTTTATATGCCGATTGCACAATATGTCCGGATTAGGAGTAAGACCGTTTTGATAGTCGTCTAGAAAACAACTGAAAAGCTTAAGTAAGAAATAATAATAATAATTT